ACTACCCATAAACAGCCAGAGCTAACATTTTTGCATATTTTCTTCCAGACATTTTTCTTTATATTTCTTTGTATCCTTAAAAGTATGCTGATAAAAAATTTTATAAACTGCTTTTTGCCTAAATTTTATTTTAGAATTACTTTCCTGTATCATTAAAATTATCTTTAGACACTATTTCTAGTGGCTACATAATGTTTTATACTGACAGTCTACAATAACTTGTTTACCACTTCTTCTATTGTTAGACGATCAGATTATTTCTCATGTTTTGCTATTTTTAACACCTCAACTTCTTACTTTAAGGAGAAACTAAAAGATGAGGGTAGAACCATAATATGAATATAACTGTTGCCAGATCCCATTGCTGGTCTGAATGCTAAGTACTACTTGAAATCATCAGTAGAGCTATCATAATGCATGCTGTAAACTCTAAATGTTGAACTTGTAGTTTCAGTAACTATATGATACGGTATGTTTAATAACTCCCAACCCACAAATCCTTTGCATCATAAGGAAAAAGAGGTGTCATACACAGTAGGTTCATTTCAGTGTCCTACTAAGAACCAAGGTAAATGTAAAAATATCAGAAGGGGCTACAGTCCGGATGTTAATGGGAAATGAGGAACAGAAAGACTGTTTGAGGGAATGAACTGATCCCACAGGTGAGTCTCGCACAGCAGGAACTCCAGGAAAGATGACAATTTGCTCCTCTGAGATGAATCCAAGTTTGCATGCAACCTTAGTCATCAATTAAAACTGGAACTATTATTTATTATAGCAAATAAGTAGTTTTTTTAACATCTCAAATTAAATTTTTTAATGGTAATACCAAACTGTTCTTTAAAATTGAATATTTTACCCTGAGGAAATATGCTATAATAGAGCAACATATTGGCCAATTTGCAAAAGTTTCATTAATTTTCTAGCATTTGTACTCTCACCTAATGATTCCAATTCTGGAAATTTTCACATGCAAAATGATGCATTACAGAATTATTCATTACAGAATTTTTTGCAATAGTAAAATATTAGAAACAATCTAAACTAAAATAAACAGGGGCTTATTAAATAAATCAAGGTACAGCCATAATTTGTAATACTATGCAGATAATANCTAAGATGCTGAACAACAGCTCAACCTGGAGCTGGGCTGCTGAGAGTCGCCTGCGACAGCGTAGGCTGCAGCCCCTGTGGCAGTGGGTTGCTATGGGCTATTGTGTGTGGCTGGCAGCCAACGTGAGCGGCCATCCAGAAGCCGGTGACTGATCTGCCTCACCCGGGAAGAGCGCAATGATGGTGCCAACTTGGGCCAGTGAAGCAACATCCTCCACAGCTAGACTGAAGAACAAAAAGACAGCAACTTGTCTGTTCCCATCCCCCCAATTTCCCAATTAAAATCTTTAAGAAAAAAAAACCCAGATCCACCTTGCTTTACCTTTCTCCTGAACTATAATATACAAAGAAAACAACACGTTAAAGTGTTTAACTCCATTATCTTCCACCTGACTTATCACTGTCTTGTACTTTCATTCTTTTTTTAACCACATAGTATTATTTTTGTCTTATCCCATCAATTTTTGTTTAAGTTTACCCACATATGTACTACTTTCTTTGCTCTTTATTCCTTCTTGGATCTCAGAACACTTCTGTTCTGTCTGAAGTACATTCTTTGGAACTTCCTTTAGTAGTGATATGCTGTGGTATAGATTTCGATCTACTTAGCTGCTTGTGAGATGACAGGCTTCTTGAATCCGTAAATAGGCGACTCATCAGTTCTGAAATTTTTTCAGCCTTTAACTTATAAAATATGGCTCCTGTTCCATTCTTTCTCTCCACTTCTTTGGGGACTTTGCTCAGATGTATATTAGACTTTCTCATTCCATCTTCCATGTGTTAATATCTCTTTCATATTTTCCATCTCTTTTCCACAGTAAGCTATAATCTGGATAATTTCTTCTAACCTAGCATAAACTCACTAATTGTCTATGCAGTAATGTCTAATCTGGTGACTTTTTAACTTTAATTCTTAAATGGTTTCAGTCTCATAAATTCTACTTGTTTCTTTTTCAAATATACAACTCATTTTTTATAGCTTTCCTATTCCATATTTTCCAGTTCATCATTTACTTCATTTACTTCTTTTAACCATGTTTTATACTTTGCATCTGGTTAATTCCCAATATCTAAAATCTTAATGAGTTTTTTTCTTTTCTATTTCTTCTGATTCTTACTCATGGTGCCTTATCTCTTTTTGGTGCTATAAACTACTGTAAACCATTCATTTCCCTTAGAAAACTATTTGTGAAAATTATCTGAGGTCTAAGAACAGAATGATTCCTCCAGGGAGGACTTATACTTGTTACTGCCAAACCACTAGAGGAGCCATTTTCAGCTACATTCATAGCTTGGCTTCTATTGGTTTGTTTTTTGTTGTGGTTGTTGTTTTTTAAAAAGATTTTACTGGGGAATTGGGGGAGGGAACAGTGTTGGGGAATCAGGGAAGGGGAACAGACAAGTTGCTGTCCTTTGGTTCTTCAGTCTAGTTGTGGAGGACATCGCTTCACCAGCCCATGTTGGTATTATGATCATTGCACTCTTTCGGGCTGAGGCAGATAGATTGTCAGCCACTGGACAGCTGCTCACGCTGGCTGCCGGCCACTCACGGTAGCTTACGGCAGCCCACTGCAGCCCACGCCGCCGCTGGCGACTCACGGCAGCCCAGCTCCAGGT